GGCTGATGGGTCAGAAATGTTATGAATATAAAAGGCGCAACGCGGGAGCCAAACGCGAGGGGCCGCGGCTATCTGATCCGGATTACGTCGCAAAAAGCGCTCATTATTCCGCCTCCGTTGCATAAAATGGGATTTTTTATTAGTGCCACACCTCGCGCCGGTAATCCGGACATTCATACAAATACCTGTGGCAGCGGTCGCATTGCCCTTCGACAGGAGATATGTAGCGGACCGGTACGCAGCCGGCGCGGCGAGCCTCGACAGAGCGTTGCCACTGCAAGACTATTACCCAGATAAATAAATCTACGCCACTTACAATGATCAAGTGTTTTTTATTCCCAGATTTAAATCTAGGATTGAATTTATACACTTCCTATTACAACTCAATACTCAACATTCTGCGGACAGGGGGGCGCGGGGTGAAGGTGTGTGACCCCGCGCGCTGCGAGATCTTATCGGGTACTATTAGTGGTAATTGTGTCGATACCATCTCCCGTCGCTCTCCCGGCGCTCTCCCGGCGCAGTCCAGCTGCCGCGCTATCTCCCTTGGACAGATATTTGTCAAAGACTTGTCAAAATCCCTTTATTATTTGATGTTAAGTATAATCTTTTGTACAATAACAATATTTGTTAAATTAAAAACGTGCTGACTGACACTCTGTGGAATCAGGTAAGAATGAGAAAATCCATGAAGCCGATTTGTTCAATGGAGGTCACATTGGAAAACTGACGACTGACTAGATCCTTGTAGAAGAGGAATACGAAATGAATGATACCTGACTCATCGAAATTTGTGGAGTTGTTTAGTTGCCAAGTGTGACGGTGCCTAGAGGCATTTCCTGTATTATTAAAAAATATTTGCATCGACCCTATAACATTAACTCTTCACACGGCTAAAAAATGTAAGCATTTAAAGCGTTTCAGCGTTCTAAATATCTTTGTACATTTGTCTATTTTCATTTCAACTAATGTTGCGTTGTGTGTGTGTGTGTGATGCTTTGTTTTGTGCCAAATTGTATACAACTCATAATACCTTGCATAATTTATATCAATGTACGAGTAAAAGCGCGGCAGAGAGTATGTTCTAAACGTCTGCTTCTCGGAGACATTCTTCTTACTAATGTAACGATTTTGTTTAACTTGCGTTTATTTAAATCTGGCACATAATATCGCAAATAAGAACATTTTTTTTGGTTAATAAATTACTGTCACCGGTGAGGAACAACGAGTATGTCGATGTGTTCCTTGTAATCTCTACATTATTGTGATATTATAATTTAATGATATCTAAGGAAGCCGATTCATGTATTTTATAATTTGTTTTGAACCTGCCACATTATTATAAACTATATATTTATTAAAGGGGGGCTTACACTTACATACTTACATATTTAACCGATGTCGGCATCAATTATATAGATTCGGTCTCTTCGAGGGCCCTTCTTCAGGGTGACTATTGATTGTGCTACACATAAGTGGGTGTTAGCAATTGTCGTCTTGTTTATTTGCCTTTGTTGTGGACAAAGCTAGAACTTTGAATAATACATATATGTGTAATTTAAATATGCATAAAAAACTGACAATCAGCATCATCAGGTTTTTAAATAAATATGAGGCAATCATGACTTCAGCTTAAAGAGAAGAATAAACAGAAACATGCAAATCTGTAAGGCGCGGAGGGTCGGCGCGGCGCGGGCGCAATCGATCGCCGCCGAGGGCTGCGCGCCACCCCTCGTTACCGGCGGCACCCCGCTCGTTCGCTCGAGAGACATTCGCCACCCTTATAGTTTGGACGTTTAAATATTTTGCGGATTGACCGCGTCCAATGCAAAGCTATCAAGTGGATCGACCTATCCGCGAACCTGCCCCATCACAAATAATTAAGTAATATAACTTTTCTAAAATGAAACGACTCAGATCTGAACAAATCATTTAGTGTAACGCACAATAAAACGTGTATGTGTGAAGTGTGTGTGAAGCCGGGCGCGGAATTATTGCTCCGCTCCACATAACGTGCACTGCAATGCAATGCAATGCTAATACAACGCGAACATGTTCGATGTTACAACTACATATGTAGGTATGTCATTACACTACTGTATAAGGTTTTCCTCACCTTTTTTTTTCTTCATTTATTTTTACAAACGCATCGCGGTATGGATGCATGATCGTACGTACATATGCATATTATGGGAATATGTATATTATTAGCATTCAATTGAAAGAAGAAGAAGAAGAGGCGGTTACTACGAGACCATACAAATGTTTTGTAATGTTGATTGTAGTAGAGATCAGTGTTTTGCTCATATTGGATAGTTTTGTGTGTGCTAACATAAAACCAGTCATCTCTCAATACATGGAAAGGGTTATAAGCGATGCTTTGTGCGCCTATTTGATTTTCGCCATTTTGGCGCTGGCGGTAGAGATTGGTATAGGTGGTGGACATTGGAACTAATAATAGAAATAGAATGAACTGTCAGTAACATCAACAGGCGCGCTTATATTGGAGCAAAGCTAAAGCTGTCATTTCCAAGCAACGACCTATCCGTCTACAGAGTTCGGAGCATAAAACCTATTTGTTTGTTTGTGGGTTGGCGCGGGCGGAACTGGCTGGTGCGCGAGAGACATTCAAACGCAGAACAGGCGCCGCGACTCAACCGGCCAACTGAAGGCCGCAGATGCGCAATTTTTTTCTAAATTTCAGTCCGAACCAAATTTTTGTAGCTTTGTATCGATTTACAATTATTTTTTAACATCTTTTTAAAACAGATTAGGATAAATTTTTAGTGTTCATAATGGTGAGTACATTTTTGTATAAAATTAGCCCTAAGATTTCCATAATAACATATTAAGGTGATCGTAATGGGGCCGCGCCGCAGCCGCAGCCGCAGCCGCACCTCGCTATAGTTTACTTTAGTTCAATCAATATGTATTCTTTCTTGTTCTCTGTTCAATTTGTCTCTCAGTTGCAGTATTCACGAGTACTCACATCACTTTAATAAGTAATTCGTAGTTATCTCGTAGTCGTTGATTTATTTTATATTATAATGTAAAGTGGAAGGATACCTGTATTATTGTAATGCGTATTTGTTGTAAAGTATTATATTATCGGACCTTCCTGTTTGTCGGCATGTTTTAAACTCGTGAGGCCCGTTTAGGAATTGAGCATTGCGGATGGCCAGCCCGCCCGCGCGGATGGGCAGCTCCTGTCTCGTTGTAGAAACTCACGCGAGGTAATCGATTACAAGCTAACAAAACTTTTTTCTTTATTACAATATTAGATTACACTAATACACATTTTATTTTGTAAATAAATTTGTATAAATTGATATTGTCATAAGAAGATTGTTTTAGTTATCGTGATGAGCCGAGCGCTTTGAAGTGAGTGTAGTTTTGAAGGCGGGTGTATCAGTGAGGCGGCGAGTGATGCGCGAGGCTCGAGGCGATGTTTGTTGTGGTGCTGGTGTTGCAGAGGGAGTGCATCTCGGTGCACGTGGGGCAGGCGGGCGTGCAGATGGGCGTGGCGTGCTGGCAGCTGTACTGCCTGGAACACGGCATCCGGCCCGACGGCACGCTGCCCGCGGCGGAGGCGGACGCCGGCGCCGACTCCTGCTTCAACACCTTCTTCTCGGAGGCTGACCGCGGCAAGATGGTGCCGCGCGTCGTCATGGTCGACTTAGAGGCCACGGTCATAGGTAAAGTATACCTTGACCTTCTAAGCCCATACTGCCGTGACAATCTGCTTAATGTATTAATGAGTCCCGAGGGCGATAATTGTTTGATAAATTTAGCTGGGAATTTGACATATGAAACCTCGACATGAGGTAGGAACAATGGCTAACTACGTTATAAAGGTCGGCAATTTTGAAGTTAGGGGACTTAGTCGTATAATGTCCCTGTTTTTGGTGCATTATGAAACTTAGTACCGGGTAGTAGCCTGCTGCGGGGCATTATTTCGCGATCAGATAAAGCTGTTAGAGGCAAAGATGTGACGTGAGCCGCTTGCTTGTGGTGCTCCCCGTCGGTAAGTAGCGAGGGGAAGGTTGGCGATGTGCGTGCATGTGTTTGTTGCAGATGAGGTGCGCACGGGCGAGTACCGGCAGCTGTACCACCCCGAGCAGCTGATCACGGGCAAGGAGGACGCGGCCAACAACTACGCGCGCGGCCACTACTCCACCGGCCGCGACATCCTCGAGCCCGTCATGGAGCGAGTGCGCAAGCTCGCTGACCAGTGCACTGGCCTGCAGGTTTTATACTCTCTATTTTCTTCTTCTCTCCTAGCAAGAGTTCCTACCCCATCGCACACGAAATATATCTTTCCTTCAATTAAGCTTGTAAGGCTCGGACCAAAGATTCAGTAAAGTGACTAAAAATGTTTCCGATAAAATTTTATTTATGAAAATATGTAATGAAAAAATTGTAAATTGTATTATTCGATACTAAGTATTAAAAAAATATTTTGCGATCATCATGTACTTGCGTTACTTATAACGACAAAACGTTTGATGCGCGGGTAAACTCCGAAATCGCTGGATGTATTTTGACGGGACTTTTATTGAAAGGTAGCTGATGCATGCAGGCCTATTGCATTCACGATGTCGCTCGTGACCGCAAGTTAGGAAGTGAATGAAAAAGCACTTAATGTAAATATGTGTCGTCAGGGCTTTTTCGTTTTCCACTCGTTCGGCGGCGGCACGGGCTCTGGCTTCACGTCCCTGCTCATGGAGAAGCTGTCCGACGAGTTCGGCAAGAAAAGCAAGTTGGAGTTCGCCATCTACCCCGCGCCGCAGGTAGCCCCGCAATACGCTTCACGCCATACACCACACTCTCCACACACCACACGTTACAAGATGTATTGCCGCCCGGTTAATGGTTGATCATTCAACAAGTAGAGGACTTCCTCTTACTAAATCGATGATGAGAGGTGAGAAATGAAAGATGAGAGATGCGCAGGTGTCGACGGCGGTGGTGGAGCCGTACAACGCAGTGCTGACAACGCATGCGACTGTGGCGCACTCGGACTGTGCCTTCATGGTGGACAATGAGGCCATCTACGACATTTGCCGGCGGCGCCTGTCCATCGAGCGCCCCTCCTACGCAAATCTTAACAGGCTCATATCTCAGGTACCGTTCGTTATATTTGTAATACATATATCTATGTGGCTGCGGCAATGACAGTAAAATGTCCTAGACAGTCACCTTCATATTATATTATGGTCGAGCCCGCAGCATGTTGCTGCTGCACGAATGGCATACTCTAGCGGTCCATTACAACAACCACATAGAAAACACGAGTGAAGTGAAAGTCACTCAGTCACTCGTCTAGGGTGATGAGTGTGCCGGAGGCCAAATTTATTTTAATCCTCTTACCTTTCTCTTATATAACTAATAAAGAAAGATTGGGCACATACAGTGCATACTGTACGTCTGGGGCCTACATACCCCCATATAAAAAGGATAATGTCCTTTTTTTAGTACATCCTCCCCCATTGCATTAAAGGTAGGTAAAGCATATTAAACCTTGATTTTGTTCTTGGAGACATCTAAAGGCAACGGTAACTATTTTAGTAATTTCAGATGGCCGCTCGCTCGGTTGTCGTACCTTGTACTATAAAAATGAATAATGATAAATACACAAGTGAGTCAGAGTAAAGGAAGGACGAGCGCTTTTGGCAGGTGGTGTCGTCAATCACGGCATCGCTGCGCTTCGACGGCGCCCTGAACGTGGACCTGACGGAGTTCCAGACCAACTTGGTACCTTACCCCCGCATTCACTTCCCGCTGGCCGCGTATGCTCCCGTGGTATCCGCGGACAAGGCGTACCACGAGGGCATGTCAGTGTCGGAGATCACGGCCGAGCTGTTCGAGCCGCAGAACCAGATGGTGAAGTGCGACCCGCGCGAGGGCAAGTACATGGCGTGCTGTCTGCTGTACCGCGGCGATGTCGTGCCCAAGGACGTGAACGCGGCCATCGCCAGCATGAAGGGGCGCGCAGGCATCCGCTTCGTCGACTGGTGCCCCACCGGTTTTAAGGTATTAAATCTGTCTAGTAAATCTATCCCAGTTCTTATTTATTTTCTCGTAACGGTCTGTAACGCATTCCGTTAAAGATTTTGCGCCACTATTTCTCGTAAATTAGGAGAATAGTGAAGTAGGATGTGTGCAAGGCGGTGTGCGTGCGCTGTGCAGGTGGGCATCAACTATCAGCCGCCGTCGGTGGTGTGCGGCGGCGACCTGGCGCAAGTGAAGCGCGCCGCCTCCATGCTGAGCAACACGACGGCCATCGCCGAGGCGTGGGGCAAGCTGGACCACAAGTTCGACCTGATGTACGCCAAGCGTGCCTTCGTGCACTGGTGGGTTCCTCGTTTGTTGATTGTTACAACACCACTACCACATTGATTGAGAGTTTGTCTGCTTGTAATACTGTATACTTACGTTAAATATTTGCACAGGTATGTAGGTGAAGGTATGGAGGAAGGGGAGTTCTCGGAGGCTCGCGAAGACTTGGCGGCGTTAGAGCGCGACTACGACGAGGTCGCCGTCGAGAGCTCTGAGCTGGAGACCGGCGACGACGAGCTGTGACGCGCCCCGCACCCCGCACCCTCACTCCGCACTCCACACCCAATACCCAGCTCCCCGCATTCGCCCCGCACGTGTCGCGCACCTGCACCCGCACCTCACTCCCTGCACCGTCGTCTATCTAGTGCTGGTCTTGGGAATAAAGTTGCATGCAATGGTGTCAAGCCTAGTTTTTGCAAGTAAAGTTTGCCATAGAATGCAAGTTGCGGGACACATCGCGCCGTCAGTGGGTATAATGCAAATGAAACGCTCAAATTAGCCCAATCAAAAAGTCTATAGAAGTTCCAGCGCCCAACAATAAGCCGAAGCGACATCGCTCCAGTCGCCGTGCGTTTCTAAAAAGAGAACGGAAACTTCGATGATATACACAAGTGTGTGTACGTGATCGAAGATGATCGTGTGAGGTGTCGCGGTGCGGCGAGGGCGACGGTGCGGCGTGGAGGAGGGTCGCCGCCATGGCGGACGCCAGAAAACCGCGGCCGCATTTTGTTAATGTTGAGTATGGCAGAACTACGGGAAATTTATTAAAGGTTCGAAAATGTCCGCCGAAGGTACCGACTCTCCCTTGCCCCCGCCGCGCACCACGCCGCGCACCACGCCGCGCAACACGCCGCGCACCACGCCGCGCACCACGCCGCGCACCACGCCGCGCACCACGCCGCGCACCACGCCGCGCAACACGCCGCGCACCACGCCGCGCACCACGCCGCGCACCACGCCGCGCAACACGCCGCGCACCACGCCGCGCACCACGCCGCGCACCACGCCGCGCACCACGCCGCGCACTCCACCGCCGCCTCGTTCTGACTCTCGTGGTCGTGTCCAACGTCTTATTAAATAGTGGCAGCGAGCTCAGAATTAAATCGAAAAGCGTTCAATGTTTGTAAATTGTCGGCGCCCCCCCTCGCCCCGCGCGGGCGTCTGTAACGTAAGAGTAATTGTTTTGTGCCGTTTAGTTTTATGTCCGGTGATGTTAAAGTTGTACGTTTTATATTATAATATACATATATTGTTTGAATTCAGACTCGTTTTACTTTTACCTTGTGAATTAATAAGCGTATTTATCTAACGATTAAAGATAGCGGAAGTGATATCTCAACAGACTTGAGAATAGTTGCTGATAATTGCACGGATAATTATCATTGTTGTGCATTGTCAAGGCGTGTCACAATCCGCCAAGTACATACACAGACTTATCATCTTTAACCCTTAATTCGACGAAATTTTTTGTAGCAAAAAATCTGTTTTTTTTTAGTAAAGTTTTATTTTTGGATATGAAATAAGTACTGGAAAAATGCTAAAAAAAATGAGTTGTTCGTCACACTGGACAACATCGAATTAAGGGGGGGTAATATTGAGATGAGCTGCTTACACATCGATTAATATGGATTAATCTGTTCGGACTTCAAACATCGAATTCAATTGTTCTCATATATCCTTGTTTGTTTGATTTTTTTGTTACATCCTTAGTATTTAAAAACAACATTGTGAGGACGTTCAAACAAACATACAACATTGGCATTGATTATAATAAATGTGTAATCGAGGTAAGAAATTGTGTGTAGTTCTACTTTAAATAAATAAAAAATTATTTATGCCCGCCGTTACAACATTACGTCGCACAGTGGGCTATTTTCAGGGCTGTCATGGACATTTTCTTCTGATATTTTTTAATATATTTTTTCCGTGAATCTGCTTTGTATGACTAAATATATGTCTTATAACATTAAATTTACATAATATCAATGATTACGGGGCTGTTAGAAATAATTCCCTGAAAATTTGTATGGAGACGACATTAAAATCGGCGATAACTCAGTTGTCGCTGGATTGCCTCTTATTTCCTTATAGGTGATGTTTCTACGATGTATTTGGATTTTTTTTCATGCTGCATATCACGGCCACTGGTGCGATTTTTAGGTTTTTTTTAAGGTCAAAGGTCATAAAAATGAATTTTTCGCGTATTTCAGCAAAATGGTAAGTATTGTCAAATAGTTACCTGAGACAAAATTGTAGATTATATAATTGTCTATTACAAACCCATACATACCTTTTTTATAAGTTCCATCGTTTCTGAGACATAATCAGTAAATTTAACGTTATTAGACATGTATTTTAGTCATACGAAGCAGATTAAACCAAAACAAACGTACTAAATAATATCAGAGGAAAATGTCTATGAGAGCAAAAACTTTTGCCCAGTGTGCGTCGTTGGGTTGGATGAAGTGATGTGACCTATTAAAATGTAAATGTAATGTAAATCCTAATTACACGGCTGAGGAGCTCCAACGCTTCAAATAAGATTTTAAACTTTGCTTAACCTTCAAACATACCTACTTACTAGCCTTTGTTCGAAAATTAGTTGTTGCCAACAAATTACGCTATCAAATAAAATACCCACCGTATAGATGTCGATGTCTTACAGTTTAATATGTGCATTTAATTCAATCTCAAATCTAATACGATGTAACGTCACATAAAACGAGCTAAATAATAAATATCTCCTTCAATCGATGACGAAAAGTAGAACATTTTGTGAAAATTGACCTTATCTAAGTATAAATAAAGTACTTTTCCCGGTTCATTCGTTTGTTTACTTTTTACTTGTACGAACTTGACAACAGCAGGTATCGAGTCGCGTATGTATACAACACTAAAATCATAATAATAAAATAAGCGCGACTATTATTAAGTGATCATTATTTTAGAATTCGCAGCTGGTGCTTATTTTTTAAATCTTACTAATGTTATTTGAAATTTTAGATGGATGGATAGATGTTTGTTACAACTTATTTCCGAAACGGCTCAAAGGATTTTAATAAAATTTGGCACAGACGTAGAACATATCTTGGAAGAAGACAAAGGCTACTTATTTAGGTTTTTTTTTTTTTAATTTCGAATGTAATTTTTTCAGATGGAGTTGTGAGCGACAGTTAGTAAGCTATAATATATTTAAAAAACGTCAATTCTTCACGCGCTTAGTATTAAAACAAGATACTCCGGCCGTGATTGATTATCTGGGCATTATTTTTGGAGTTTTAGAAAACGCATTGCGGCGTTGTGTAATGTGTCAACGTTGGCTGTTGGCAATCGAAGAGTTTAAAGCTCATTCATTGTCACAAGATGCAGATGGAACCGCGTAAATGTTAAAACCCGCATAAGTTATTAACCAATTATTAATTTATTGCAATTAAGGCGATATTGCGACGCCATCATCGCGCCCTTGTGTAGTCTCCTTGCGCACGGCTATAACAGGGCGCGCGGCCTTTGCTCGGCATTCATCGCCGATATGTGGCCGCTGTTGGCCGTGTTCGCCGCGGTGCTCGCGCTCGCCTTCACCGTCGGCTTCTACCAGAAGAAGACGAATGCTGTGTGCAGCTCGCGACGCCGGCTGGACGGTCGCACGGCGCTCGTGACGGGGGGCACGGCCGGCATGGGGTTGCGCATAGCGCGAGACCTGGCGAATCGAGGCGCGCGCGTCATCGTGGCGTGCCCGTACCCGGGCGAGGGCGCCGCTGCGGAGCGCCTGTTGCGCGAACGCTCCGGCAGCGAGGCTGTCGTCTTCAAGCACCTTGACCTCGGCTCGCTGCAATCCGTGCGAAAGTTTGCCGCCGACTTGTTGGACTCCGAGGAGAGGCTCGACCTTTTAATAAACAACGCCGGCGTCGGTATCGTCGGCGACTTTGTGACAAAAGACGGCCTGAACTTCATCATGGCGGTGAATTACTTCGGTCATTTTCTGCTAACGCTACTCCTGATGCCGCTCTTGCGGCGCAGCGGGTGCGCCGAGGAGCCAAGCCGCATCGTCAACACTACCTCCGTGCTGCGGCACATCGGACGCATCGATCTGGACAAATTAAACGCGACCGACTACTGGTTTAAAGTCCAGATCTACGGTAACAGCAAGCTGGCGTTGGTAGTGTGGGCACGGGAGCTTACCGCGCGGTTGCGCAGCACTGGCGCGCCTGTCGTCGTCAACTCGGTGGACCCTGGCGCAGTAGGCACCGCTATCTTCGACTGCATCGGATCGCTAAAGGGCATGGTTTTGACCCTCCTGTTCCGGAGCCTGTTTAAAACGCCCTGGCAGGGCGCGCAAACTGCGTTGCACGTGGCACTGGACGACCGCGCGGGAGAGGTAAGCGGAGAGGTGTTCAAGAACTGCCGAGCAGTGGGAGGCGGTGGGGTGTGCGGGCCCGAGCTGGCGCGCCGGTTGTGGCAGCGCTCGGCGCAGCTCGTGCGGCTGGATGAGGACGAGCTGGCCCGCTGTCTCGCGGACACGTGACGTTGCCGCGACGCCCGCGCCCTTGAGCACACCCTCCAGAGAGCTCCATTGTAGCGTTTTTATATTCGAATATATTTGTTCTAAATCGCAACAAATACGAGGTCTAAGGTTAATATTACAATTATTAAAAATGTTTTAATAAAAAAAAAACAATATACTTGGAATGTCGAATACGATTCTACTCAGGTTGATTTAGACATTCCATGGTACATTCGTTCGCAAACAATTAAATTTATTATAATACATAGAATTACATTTTTATATTATAGAAAGTATTCAGAAAATCTCCAACGATCGTTGGAAAACTTCAGCATTGATGTAAGTCGTCTAATTAACTACGAGTATACAAAACTATATTTAAATGATCTGCTGAAATGCATTCATGGCAAATAAGAAACGAAGTATTTATAACAAAGTTGTGACGTACATAATATACACGACAAGCGGTCAAAGGGTTAAACAAGTGTTTAACTAAATATAATCTGATTTTATTGAAATAATACAGTTAATAATTATTTTATAGTAATGTTCATTTGAGTTTGTTGTTATTCAGTGAGTACAGTGATTACTGAATATTTAATTTTATGTATTTCTAATGAATTATAATTAAAAAGCTATACATAATTGTTTTTCTTACTTTGACTGCCTCAAATCTCACTTTCATCGGTTCCAGCAATTCCTTAAAAAGATATAGAAAGTTGTTGCTTTAATTAATAACATAATATTATTATAATTAGTAAATAGATAACTAATTTAATCATAAATATTACGAGAGTTACGTAACATTTGTATCTGTATGTCGCCGGCAAATTGTGAATCTAGGAAAATTGCTTAAGTAAGGAATTCAATTACAAAGTGATAGTTTGTAGAGATGACACGTCTTCGTCGTTTACCTCACTATAATTTGTGTGTGTGTGTGATTTCCACTGACTCGTATTGTATGTACACTTGTATTGATACATATATTTGTCCCTGTTTTACCAACGAGATTGTATGAGATGACTAGAATGATGTCTATACAAGTGTCAGAGGAGTGAAGCTGGCGGAGTGGCGACATCTAATACTACAACTGCCAATTATCTGCTACCTTTACAAAATGATGTAAATAATGGCAATGAATTCCTTCTGTTCAACATGTGTATTATATAACTAACTATCACCCGCGTCTCCACCAACGTGGAATTAAAAATATAATAGTAGCCCATGTGTTATTCCAGACTGTGTTCTGCGTCTGTTTCTCATCGAGATTCGTGGAACCGTTCTGGAGATACATTCTAACAAACATCTACCTTTACAAACAAACAAACATACATTCAAACTTTCGCATTACTATATTACTAAGATTTACATTTTATTACAAAAAACCTGTTCTGGCGTCTTAAGAATACTTTAGCAAAATGTTGTCTAAATCTGTCCAGTGGTTTGTTTGGGGACTAACAGGGGTTTAACCACTGATCTCTATACATGCACTGACTATAAGCAGTGTTGTTTTGTGCTTTTCAAATTTCGTCATTTTGGTGTTGACGGTAGCGGTTGGTAACAGTGGTAAGGATCCAGGGCAATAAGCAACGTCAACAGGCGCATTAAAGTATGAACGAAGCTTAAGTTGTAATTTTCAAAGAACCACCTGTCCGTCTATAGAGGTTAGTGGGATAAAATGCAAAAAATGATATTGAAAGGAATACGTATGATATATATATATATATATATATATATATATATATATATATATATATATATATATATATATATATATATATATATATATATATATATATTGTGCAGTAGTGTTGTGGCGGCTTGGCACGCGCGACTGAGCATTGCCTCGCTCTGTCGTAACGTCGCGTCGTATTCCTAACAAGTTTGCGTTTCTTTCGTCATTTAAAGCCAATTTACATGAACACAATTTAATGGTAACCGTCGGTTCTTGGTGAGCGCGACCCGAGACCGAGACCGAGACCGAGACCGCGACCCGAAATCGCGACCTGAGACCGAGACCGAAACCGAGACCGAGACCGAAGCCGAGACCGAGGCCGAGGCTGAGACCGAGACCGAGGCCAAGACCGAAACCGAGGCCGAGACCGATACCGATACCGATACCGATACCGATACCGATACCGATACCGATACCGAGACCGAGACCGAGACCGAGAACGAGAACGAGAACGAGAACGAGAACGAGAACGAGAACGAGAACGAGAACGAGAA